AGGGGGGGGGGGGGCGCAATCACACGACGACGAGGACTGAAAAAACGGCAACCAAAACACGGGTGTAACCGAACTAAACGACAAAAACCTGGCACAGGAGGGGCATTAGGGGTGTAAGGCCGAGTGAGAAATCTTAGCTGGTGTTAAGAGGATAAGAAGGAGAAGCAATGAGCTGAGAGGGGGCTCAAAGTGGAAGAGAAGCGGGGGGCAGTTAGAGAGTGGAGCCTGGCCTTTCGACGAGTGGGAGGGGTACCTTAGTCTCTGAGGTCCAGCTGATAGTGCCCGAGTTCCTCATCTTCCAGTATTTGATGAACTTGGTACCAGGCTCCAGACGGGTGCCGTCAGGCAGATTTTCATCCAGAAACAAGGCAGCCATAGTGGGGACCAAGGACGTATGCGAGACCCCAGGACCCCTAGTTTCAAGTGTACAGAGCATTGTTGAAAAAAGCCCCGGTTTCTTAAAATACGCATCTCTTTTGTTCTCTATGAATCAAAAAAGCAGGAGCCCAGATTTTTTTTTTTTTCTTTTTTCGTCAGCTCAAAAGCATTTTTCTTAGAAAATCTACGAAGCAGCAGCAGCAGTTTTCACACTGAGGTAGTTCCAACATTTGCCACCACCCTAGAACAGCCAGCGATACACTCATACAGATTAGATTACAAAGATGGCATATTTTGATTTTGTTTCTTGGAAAAAAGACTTTTTGCATCCATGCTGGGTTTGAGGCACCCAGCACTGGCGGACGCCCTCCCGCGGTGGCGCTTACTCTGGACTGGAGGCCTGGGGATCAGGGGCCGGGGCTGGGATTGGACCTTGGACTGTGGCTGGACCTGAGGCTGTTTCTGGAGCAGCGGGAGGGGGCAGGGCTGGGACCTGGGTGGAGGCCGAGGCCATGTTAGCCAGGCTGACTCGGCCTGAGGTAGAGGGCCCGCTCCACTGCAGCCCTCTCTTCTCCAGTCTCAGTTTCTTCTTGATTTCCTTGACTTCGGCTCTTAGCTGCCTTCTTTCAGCTTTGAGGCGCTGTCGCTCGGCCTTGCGCACTGTCCTGTCTCCTCGCCTTGGGAACCTGGTTTGAAATGTCATCAGGAATACCTATTTGTTGACTATCAAATGTTTATTTTCCCCAAAAAAACTAAACACATTCCCCCCCTGATAATGACTGAATTACAGTGATCTAGCTGCTAACATTCCACAAAGCCACTGTTTTTTAGCAAAAGGTACTGAATCGTCTCAGGAGGCGGACGGAGTGATCCTGAGTTTCGGAGCTTTACCTCAGCTCTCCGGACATGCCGTGCTCGGGGATGGAGAGAGGCGTCTTGGTTCTCACGAGGCTGTGGCTGGGGTCGTGGCTGTGTCTGCACATCTCGCACAGGATGCAGGAGGGGCACACGCTGACGGGGAGAGCCACCAGAGGCATCAGTATCACTGGGACAGCACGCGTCGCGGCTCTTTTCCGCCGGACGCCGCCTCTCAGAGCCTACCTGCATTTGTAGGCTCCCTCGGAGGTGAGTTTGTTGCAGCTGCTGCAGTTCGGGGTGTAGCCAAGCGATCCGTGGGAGGTGGACGGGCCGGGCGTGGGTCCCACGGGGCCGCCGCCGGCCTCATCGGCCCCACCGGCCTCCAGAAGCCCGTCGGTGGATTTGTGGGTACAGCACTGACCGGAGAAGTCGCTGCACATCCTCTCCACCACCTCCTTTACAACTTCATCTTTAAACTGGGATTGAAGAAAAAATTAAGTTCAATGTGTGCAAGCATGAGCTTAAAATACGTTCATCAAATCCATTTTTTCCTTTACCTTCTCCATGTAGGACCTAAACCACACAGGGGGGGGCTCGTCTTCGGGTTTGCTCCCCTTGTTGTCTTTTACTGCTGCCTGTACAGAAATACATCTTACTGAGAAGGAGCACTTTCATCAAACAGAATCAAAAAGACTTAAAGCCAAAGGTGTGAGAGAGGAGGAGAAGGCCTGTGCGTCCTTACGGCTTCTCGCTCTGGAGTGACCTGAGTGCCTTTGTCCACCGTTTTGACCCTGGACGGGTACGGGGGGGCCGGTCGCAGGTCTCCTTTCAGCTCCTTCACCTCTGTCTTCAGCGGGCCTCCGCAGGCCTGCCCTTTCATCTTGTACACGTTCATGTGCAGCTGGTTGCCCTGCTTCTCCGCACTCTGTGTGGCAAAATCAGAGAGACACGCAAATCAGAGCAGAGCAAACATCAAAACAAACACAGACACCAATCCTCCACCTGCCAACCATCTGACATTTGCTGCTGTGCAGCTGAAGGAATGCTGCTGCACTGGAACAATGACATATTTGTATCTAAAGTCCTTTGTTATAATCCTTCTGTATTAAACACGACGTGTGAGCTGCGTCACTAAATGTCATTCAGCCTTTTGCTCTGAAACAAATCCAACAGTTGTACCGTACCTTGATGGCTTCCTCATACTCATCTAGGAAAAAAAGAGAAAGAAAGAAAGAATTAGAATCATCCTTGTAAGCATGTAATCAGAGAAATGCAGTCATTTAAAAAAAGTCTTGACCCCCCCTCTCATTATTAATAGGCAGATAAAGCAAATGTAGCACATAAAGGCCACAAATGAGTCCGTAAAACAGCCAAAATATATATTTTTAGACCCAATACTTCTTTTTACTCCAAGAACTGGACTGAAAACAAGTGAAAAAGCAGTTTAAAGAAGGAAGATAATTCAAAATTAAAGAGGATGATGATGAGGAAGACTTGCATTGTTAAATTGTTTAATTTTATAAAGAACACTTAGCAAGCAGAACATATATAATATGAGCAAGATTTATTTCTCACCTTGACTGTTAATGCAGATCTAAAACAAAAAAGAAGAGAAAATTAGAATTCTCATTCTAAAAAACCCTAATGAAATCGATGTAGGGAATAAGACATCAACTTAAAGACTAAATTTCTCAAGAAATTGAACACATTGACACTTTATTTTCCTTTCAATGCCACGTTTTTCTATCCGTTGACCACAATCCAAATGTACATTTTCTAGATAATAATAATAATATTTAAATTCTGCTCATTTTTTCTTTATTATTCTGACAGCTCCAGTGAAAAGACATCTTACAGATGAAATTATTCACAGATAAATGCACAAAAACATCAATATAAAATAGAGCTGAGATGATTTGTTAGGATTATGAGAACTTGCCAAAACTGCATCAAATTGAGGCAAAAATATCTCAATGTCATTTTTTTTAGAAATCGTACTTAGATCATTTTACCAATGTAGCATTTTCAATGCAAGGCTTTCCACTTTTAAATAGTATCCTAACAGTGTAGTAGTCGAGGCTTTGGTTAAATCAAGACTTAAATCTCTTGCCATACCTCTTCATTGTCTTCATCAAAGTATTTGACTTGAAAGTGATTGATCCCAAATGATGCTTTGATCTGAAAAGTAAAGAATCCAAGAGTCTGTCATTGAATCCCTAATGAATAATAAAGCAGCAGTAATGGCAGACAGAGGAGCACACCACTAATGTGTACAAAAACACAGCGTTAAAGCACATTTTCCTTCCCGTGAATATCATGTGACACACTCGCGGACATTAAAAACAACCACCTATGTTTACATTGTCGCAATAGTACCGACTATGCTTCGGGTGAGCGGATGTTTGTGTGTCTAGGCCATGTCTGGGCCTGCTTTTCACCAAACTGCGCCAGCTTTTAACCAACACGCTATGCTAGCAGCTTACCCAGGCTTCCACCGAGTCCCACTCCAATTTGTCCAAATCCTGAGCCAGAAACCTCTTCACATTCCCCCGGAAATTCACTTTAATAGTAACGGGGAGCCCCATGACAAACGTCTATACGTATTTAAAGGCTAGCATTTGAGGTGACGCCGGCCTGTTTGATCCCTGTTGCCCTCGACTGTCTTTTCTTGTTTACATCGTCGGCTGTGTCTAGAAAAAAAAAGAAGAGGTTGGTGACGTTTAGCGCAGGCGCAGTCCTGCGCAGCGCAGCCGTCGCCTTTTGTGGACGTCATCTCTACGCTCACAAGTGTGGCTGAAAAGTAAGAAGCCACACGTTTACAGGAGAATTTAATGCTGTTGGGACAATCGTTCTTTGCATATCTGATCACGGAAGATGTCTTCACTCCTCAAAGTGGACAATGAAATTAAAACCAAGGTGAGATTTGTTCGTTTAAGTGCTGTTAGTGGCCAAAGGTGCGTTATTGTACCCGTTTGTTTGCTAGCATGTTAGCTGCATTCTGTGGCATGATGTGGGGACTCTGATAAGGCCGGCGTGAAGGCAGCTAACGGGGAATAGCCGGCTTGTTCCCGCTCACTATAATAGACCTGTCAAAACGTTCTACGGGCGCTGGTTTACGATGGGGTCAAGCTTCACGGCAGGTGGGCATGGGTGTTCGTTACCTAACTATTTTTGACAAATACGAGTCATTTGCTGCGAAACCACATGCCTCCAGAAGGCCCTAGCCACCAAGTTAGCTTACCGGCGTCAATTAATTTAATGTCTCGGAAACTTTTATTCAGACCCAGGGCTGGAATGGGTTCAGTTTTCGACCCTGAAGGTTTATGTCTAAGGCTAGTTCATTTCATTTTGATTTGGAGGAAATTCACTATGCTATTCCCGTGCTTTAGTTGGCTAATACTGTATTGCCAGTTAAATTCAGACAAGCTAATTCTGTTTTCAGAGAATTAACAAATTAGGTCAATTATTTATATATTGATGACTAAATGAGGGGTTTATATTAAAAATACTCTTCATTAGCAATAGATGGTGGTTCAGGTGGATGGATGTATTTGGAATTGTGTTCTTTATTATAAGCTAAAAGTGTCAAATAAGAACCAAACCGATTCCTCTTTAAACCATTATGTACACAAGTAAAAAATTGGTCACTGAAATGAACAAGGTCTTTGTCTTAGACTTGAGACTCTTACGGACCACATTCAGTCTTCAAAAGTACATCTTTTTGTTCTCCGATTGTAAGGTTACAGAACCACCAGATAATGGAAGAAGCGTTTATTCCTAAAAACTGAGCATCTTTTCAGCACAAACATACAGTTTTTGGCCTCTCTTACACACAGGATCAGCGTTCATGTCAAACTATCCATCAGGGTCCCCAGACATCTGTAAGATGTGAACACTTCTACATCTGCCTGCGATGACGCTGCAGATAGACACAGGAAAGACTGTATTGATCATTTCTAGAGCTTATCCAAGGTTATTTCTAACCTAATACCCATATATACACCCTGCCTCAGTGTTACTAAATCGTTACATTAAGGGTTGTTTTTGCTTTCCATTAGAGGGAGTGGGGTAAGCGACCCGCCCTCTGTATCTTGGTAAACATACACTTTTATGGTCACGTGACCTTTCATTTTAGGAGCACCCATCGTTTCTGTAAAGAGAAACAGCACATTGGAGGAGAGATAAGCTCCAGTTTGAACATTTAGTAAGAAACACGGGAAGAGTTTAGCCTAAAGTTGGCCTGAATGGATGAGGTTTGTATCTTTTTATGTGAGCACATAAACTTACTTATCAAAGTAAGTTAAAAAAAAAATTTTTGTAGGAATTTGAGTTTAACAGCTTTCTGTGCAGCTTTGATGAAGTGTTGGACATTTGTTTGCTGCAGCTGTTGGTCTGTTTGCATGTTCACAAAAGAGGAACCACTTTTGCAATAAAGTTGGAATAACATTCAAATTGAACTTTTTTTAAAACTCGATTTTAGTCTTATTTGACTAAAATCTTCATTTTGAATGGTTTTCATTCATTTATTCCACATCAGTGATATGAAAGTTTCTAGTTTTGTTCAACGATCTCGCTCTTTTAGGCACATTTGAGGGGAAATTTTTATAAATTGTGTAAACGTTTAATTATAGAGATGACTTTTTTTTCTTCTGGAGCATCATCACAAACTGAACTGTCTGTGTGCTTTGTGTTCGCAGGTCGACGCTTTCAGGGAACGCATCACAGCAGAAGTAAGTGTCCGTCATCTTCTGACAAATTCAGCCCTTTTCCTCGCAGCCACGGGCGGCGTCTGGTCTTCAGGACTGCTCAGAGTTTGCTTCTCTTTCAGGCAGAAGATCTCGTCGCAAATTTTTTCCCAAAGAAGTTACTGGAACTTGACCACTTCCTCAAGGTGGGCTGTTTTCTGATCGTGCCCTCATCTCTTTAAGGCGCCTTTTGACACGTTTAGGATCTTACATTTGCCACAACCTTCTGCTAAATGGGTCCTTTAGAGCCAATGCACCTCACATATATCGCCTTAAAAGCCTAATCCTTGTTTTCCAGGATCCAAGCATAAACATCGTCGAGCTGAAGGAGATCCACTCGGAGATCAACCTGACCGTACCGGACCCCATCCTTCTGCCAAACCTCCACGACGGACTGGAAGCGGTGAGTTGCCGCCTGGCTTCCACTAAACTGAGTGAGACCGCTGCATGCGGGGCGCAGATGGGACGTGAAACTGTTTTTTCTGTTTGACAGCAAAACGCCAAAAAGAGGAAGCTGGAGGATGGAGGCGGGGAGGACCTGGGTGAGTCACCACGAGCTCGCCCACCCACCCGAACCGAGCGGGGCGGGCCTCGGGCGCAGCTCACTTTTGCTCCTCTCTTCCAGTGACTGGCACCAAGGTCTTCGTCATGCCTGGCGGAATGATGAAGAGCAACGGCAACCTCGTTGAACTCATCGAAAAGGTCAAGCCTGAGATCAGGACGCTCATAGAGAAGTGCAACACAGTAAGTCCTGTCTGTAATCTGTTTCTGACCTTAGTTTTGGGTTTTTCAGCAGCTGCTTCATTTAAAAGTCCAAATTAAATTAAGAAATTAATAATTAAATGATAAAAAAACAGTAGTTCATTAGATTAGATATAAGAAATCCATATGTCTAGTTTAAAGCCATCAAACCAAAGCATGCTGCTTGTATAAATGTGTCTTCTGTTTTGTCCTTTTCCTCCTGCCTGCAGGTTAAAATGTGGGTTCAGCTCCTCATTCCCAGGATAGAAGATGGCAACAACTTTGGAGTGTCAATCCAGGAGGAGACGGTAGCCGAGCTCAGAACAGTTGAAGGGGAGGCGGCGTCGTACCTCGACCAAATATCAAGGTGTGCGGGCACTAAGGCCTTTTGTTCCACCTCTTTTCCAGGTTTTGTGTCATTTTAAAGCCACGTTTTCCTTTGTCTTTTGCCTCCAGATACTACATCACAAGAGCAAAGCTGGTTTCTAAAATAGCTAAATATCCACACGTGGTAAGTGAGCAACACTGGGAGCAACAAGCAGGATGCAGTCAGGAGAACCATAAAAAGATAGTTTTTTTTATTTTTATTTTTTATGGCAGGTTATGAAAAATGTAGTTCCTCTGGCTTTAAACCCCTTTAAAATGGTAAAATCTCAAGTATCAAAATCTTATTCCTGTTTTTAAAACTACCCTTTGAAATCTGTTAAAACCATCAGTTAATTAGCCATTTCTGGTTGGCTGGTATTGAACGGCCCAAGAAAATGGATTTGGAAAAAAAAAGAAAGAAAGAAAACAAGCCTAAAAAAAGAATCTTTGACACTTAAAAAATGCAAAAAATAAACCCAGATTTGCGTTTTAGAAAGCATAAGCACTTTTTTTTTTTTTTTGGTGAGCTCTGACCATGAATCTAACCTTGTGGTTTCCGCCCTAAACCAGGAGGACTACCGGCGCACGGTAACAGAGATCGACGAGAAGGAGTACATCAGTCTGAAGATCATCGTTTCAGAGCTCAGAAATCAATATGTACGCCGCGGCCTCCTCTCGCCTCCACCAATCAGAGTCCGGCTTCATGCTTCCCTCCTCCTGAATGCATTTTGTGTTTTCCCCCCCCCAGGTAACGTTACACGACATGATCCTGAAGAACATCGAGAAGATAAAGAGGCCCCGGAGCAGCAATTCTGAGGCGTTGTACTGATGTTCGCTCAGCCTACACAACAACCC